TATTATTATAATTGGATGGGCTAATTTGCATTTTTGGTGGAGTAGGTAATTAAATAATGGTTTCTTTGTATCATGAAGGCAGAGAAAACATTTCTCATTTTCTCTTATTTAGCTCCCAATGTGGCTCCTTCTGAAGTTGGAGGAGGGGGCGGCAGCAATCGAGAACTGACAATAACATGGGTGGTAAGTATTACGGCAAAGCTACGCTTATTGTGCACTCTTTTGTGGATGAAGTGATTCTGTTAAGAGTGGACCAATAATTGTTCAGTTATTGTAGCCATTAAAAGATGTGGACCACTACAGAATTATGTAATCTTAATTTTTATTTTGTATGTTATATCTTTACAAGAGGCTGACTTCAATTAATCATCAGTGGGAACTCATCTTAAATGTGAAAACATATAAAATATTAGTGAAAATCAGTGTTTGTCCCAGAATTCCAAATTATGTGGTTAGGTTCATTATTTTCTCAAATTCATAATCTTTATCGACATTAGGAACAGCACAATGTTTTCCTGACAGATTCTTCCCTGGCTCAGTGTGTTGAATGGGCTTCTAAAACATGTATGTTCAACAGATGAAGTGACCAAAGCCACTGCTTGATAGATATGTGCAAAAAAGTTAATTGATATTAATCTTTATTTTCAATGTTGATTTCCCAGAATCAGAACTGTCAGACAGCCTAACCAAGCAGCCTTTTGTCTGATAAGCATTTTCACTATTTAGTCAACTTAACCTTGCTTAATTCTTGCAAATGATGTGCCTGATTGTTGTCTTCCATCCAAACCTTAAACTCTCTCATATATTTCTAGGTATGTTTTGTTTGCAGGGGGAGGGGGACTCATTGACTTTCTATGCAGGACTCCACTATGATCTTGCTATTGGGTGGGTGCATGGTAGGTGAATGGGTGATAATTTATATGCACATAAACATCCTGAGCAGCATTTATATGCCAGAGGAGAATTCATAGAAACAAGCATGCTTTTTTCTCCTGGCTCTTCATTGAGAAAGCTTATAAATATCAAACCAATTTTGAGTTGAGTCAGGAAGAACATACTCATCACTCTTTAAATTCAGCATGTGGTAAAATATATTTAGAATCTTTCATAAGACAAACATGCAGATAATAACCACTTAAATATAATGTGACTTCACTTATGAACTATCTGCTTATAACACTTAACCAAGTTTTAAAGGGCCATTTGTGCAACTTCAAAAATGTTCTCAAAACTATCAAGCTGATGACTTCCTGTGAGTCTTTTGATTCCAAGGTTTTGTAAGACTTTTCATTGTATAACAGTTTGGACTTGAGAGCAGAATTTAATTCTGGGGGCGATATGTACTCCAGAGACCTTTTTATCTTAAATTTGCAAAAGATTATTATTCTCAAAATGATGAACATTCCAAGCCATACATTTCCAAAATGTACAGCTTGCAAATTTCATCATTTTGTGGAGTATTTTAGAAGAATGTTTGTGGCTAGATGCAGATGTTCTCTTTTGTGAACAAAAGTATCCCTTCTGTTCAGAGGAAATACTCTAACCCAAAAGGGACATCCACTTGAGGAAACTGGGAGAGATTTTTCAAGTTCAATGTCAGTAAGTGGGAGCTCATTCATGGGAAGTCTGGATCAGAGCCATACTTTCATTTAATGATGCTTGATATTATTGTTTTTAAAAAGTGGTCTACTAACAGACACATAGTAAAGCTGGGGGAAGCAAAGTATCTTAAAAAATATTGACAACTGTTGACTTCCAAGAGCATAAAAAATTGTTGTGACACATCTTGTATTGCAAGTGAAGGCTTATACCCCAGTCATTACATTGGCACTGCAAAGATTTGGGTAATTTCCAACTGTGACTGAATTTTTAAAATTATAACCGGGGGGATGGTGACTCATGCAAGATTGGGGAGTACCAAACAAGATCACTTTGTTCTTTCATGTGGACTCAAACAGATTTATATGCCAGCTATTTCTCTTGGTACATGGAAGGTTTTCACATCCATTCTAAATAGGGTAACTCATTTAGTCCCCAAAAGTAGGTGAGTTGGATTTCCAAGATTTCTTTTTCAGTACATTCTGAATCATTTTCACAGCTACTTTCATGGCTCAGGGTAAATAACTAGAGTCATATAGAGCTATGTGTCTGTTCTCTAAAATGTGCAAACTTTGCATTTGGTATGCCAATAATTCCATGGCATGAGAACAGAATGTAACACAGGTTGGCACACGTAGAGTATTTACTATGATTCATCAAGCCTAAAGGGCAAGACATTCAGGAACATTGTTAAATTATTTCCAGATGTTGTTTTGGGCGCAGAATAATAGGTATATCAAGCTTTTTCCACTATGCTACTACCTTTAACCATTCTTCTTAAATGTAGATTACAGGTTAGTATTTTCCCTCTCCTTTGGAGGAGTACACTGACAATGTGGCTTAATTCATTTTCACGGGAACATCGGAAATTGCCTCATGCTGAGTTTTGCCCTTGTTTCATTTGGGGCAGTGCTGTCAATGTTGACTGGCAGCAGATTTCTTCATTCTTACATGGAGAAACCAAGAATTGATCTTGAAATTTTTGTTTGCATTTCTTACATGGAAAGCATGTAGTCTGCCATAAAGCTACAAACCTTTCTTCTTTAAGACAGTGTGTCTGCTATGTACCATAAAATGATATGTAAACAAGGATTGCCTTCTCTGTGAAATTTGGCAGAAATCCGCATTACAGTATATTTATCTTGTAATATGTAGATGCAGGTTTAGAAGAATAAAGTAGAATTATAGATAATTTGCTTTCATTGGCCTCTTAAAGGTTCTGCTGATTAACTCGCCAACATTATTATATCAATGTTCAGTGGTCATTTTCAAGATTGCTATCATGTCTTTTGTCACATGGATGCACTTGAGAGCATCTCTTTTCTCTTTCAGCTGACAGCTGTAGGAATTTGGGACTACAGCCTGTGTGAATACAGTATGAGGGTATTGTAATTATTCAAGTTTGTTCACACAGAGTAGGACAAAATGCATAGCATAGATTAATCTTTCTGTAATTAGTGCAGTAAACTCAATGAATTAAGGATAGAATCGTCTATGTAAATAAATGATGCAATCAATGCATTTTCACCCACAGCAGTCTTAGGTCATGTGCACATCAAAATTTGTTTCCATGTACAAATTAGACCTCTCTGAATCATAGAAAAGATTTGAAGCAAGAATGAAAAACAAAATAAAACTCATTTCATGAGTAGAGGAAGGAATATAATTCATGCAGATAAAATTGTTTTGCCCATACTTTAGAGGAGGCTTCTGCAAGGTTGAAAAACAGAAATATACCCTTTATTTCCACTATTAAAATGACCAGGTTACCATAAGCCCTGAATTACAAGACCCTTCTTCTGGGTTGAGTGAAGCCCTTCTGGATGTTGGGAGAGTTTACAGTTAGTCTTTTTATGTTTCCAACCTTGTTTTAAAAAGCATTTCATCTTCATGTTTTTTTACTTTGCAGCCTTTGCCAAGAGAGTATCACTTTGGTAATAATTTTGGATATGTGGTATCCTTCAAGTCTTTTGATCAAAAGGACTGGAAAAGAGTAACAGTTCCACATGCTGATGCAAGCCGGTATGTCCATAAAGATGAAACAATGCCTCCCTCATCGAAGTATCAAGTGAGAGTGGGAGCATTTAACAACAAAGGGGAAGGACCATTTAGCCTTACTGCTATCATCTTTTCTGCCCAAGATGGTGAGTGGAAATTGTGAGATAAGAAGGGTTTTGCTGCCATTCTAAGAAATATTTCCAGTTCAGGCAGATTGTTTATTTGCAGTATTCACTGGCAGTGTATCATGCAAATATTAAAGATTAAATTGGTGACATCTGAATAAACAATTAAGCTATAGATGGATGAGTTGACATGAGTTGAACCTCAATTTCTCATAATGCAATTTTCTGTGAAAACGTGTGATTGTCTTCTCTTTTTTCCATCCACTTACATATGAAAAAACACACTGCAGACATTTTGCCAATTTTTCTTCCACTGTATTTAAGTGCCAAAGAATGCTCCTACTACCATACAATTGTACTCATTCCACATGCTAGCAAGGTTATGCTCAAAATCCTGGAGCTGGATTTCGAAGGGGCAGAGGAACTAGAGACCAAATTGCTAACATGCGCTGGATGATGGAGAAAGCCAGAGAGTTCCAGAAAAACGTCTGCTTCATTGACTATGCAAAAGCCTTTGACTTGGGAAGTCCTTAAAGAAATGGGAGTGCCTGATCACCTTATCTATCTCCTGAGAAACCTATACGTGGGATAGGAAGCAACAGTTAGAAATGGATATGGAACAACTGAATGGTTCAAAATTGGGAAAGGAGTATGACAAGACTGTATATTGTTCCCTGGCTTATTTAACTTATATGCAGAATATATCATGCAAAAGGCTGAACTGGATGAAGCCCAAGGCAGAATTAAGATTGCCAGAAGAAATATCAACAACCTCCGATATGCAGATGATATCACTCTGATGACAGAAAGTGAGGATGAATTAAAGAACCTCTTAATGAGGGTGAAACAGGAGAGTGCAAAAAATGGTCTGAAGCTCAACATCAAAAAAACCAAGATCATAGCCACAGGCCCCATAAAATAGAAGGGCAAATAGAAGGGGAAGATATGGAGGCAGTGACAGATTTTACTTTCTTGGGCTCCACGATCATTGCAGATGATGATGACAGCAGCCACAAAATTAAGACGCCTGCTTCTTGGGAGGAAAGTGATGACAAACCTTGACAGTATCTTAAAAAGCAGAGACATCACCTTGCCAACAAAAGTCCACATAGTCAAAGCTATGGTTTTTCCTGTAGTGATGTATGGAAGTGAGAGCTGGACCTTAAAGAAAGCTGACTGCCGAAGAATTGATGCTATTGAATTGTAGTGCTGGAGGAGGCTCCTGAGAGTCTCCTGGACTGTAAGGAGAACAAACCTATCCATTCTAAAGGAAATCAACCCTGAGTGCTCACTGGAAGGACAGATTCTGAAGCCGAGGCTCCAATACTGTGGCCCTCTCACGAGAAGAGAAGACTCCTGGAAAAGACCCTGATGTTGGGAAAGTGTGAAGGAAAGAGGAGAAAGGGACGACAGAGGATGAGATGGTTGGACAGTATCATCAAGGCTACCAACATGAATTTGACCCAAATCCGGTAGGCAGTGGAAGACAGGAGGGCCTGGCATGCTCTGGTCCATGGGGTCATGAAGAGTCGGACATGACTAAACGACTAACCAGCAACAACAACAAAGCTCTAGCTGACATGCCCCAGGACTTCCTTACGTCTGGAGCTTTTTGTAATGGAAAATGTTTCATAGGCTGCCTAGGAAGGTGCTGCTCTTCTGACCTTTCCCTGTCCTGCTTCTACAAAATTTGTCTGTGATACTGTTACTAGCAGTGAACTCTACCCTGGAGAAATAGCAGCATAACCTCACCTTTCCCTAGAGTAATGGTTCCCAGCCATGGATAACCAGGTGTTCTTGGACTGCAACTCCTAGAAACTCTGGCCAGCACCTCTGGTGGTGAAGGCTTCTGGGAATTGCTGTCCAAGGGCAACCTGTTACCTAGGTTGGAAACTACTGCCCTAGAGGATTTGGGTAAAATGATATCCTCAGGGCACAGCACTAAAATCACTTTTGTAGATACTCAGATTTGTGCACTGTTGTTGATTCATAGGACAAATCATGGTTTTGCTGTACGTAAAAGGAAAATGGGAATATCAATGACATAATTTACAGTCTATGATAAGAATGAATGAGTTGGAGATAATATTTGAATGCTTGTTTGTTCAGCTTTTCCTGCATTTTACCATATAACAAAAGCCACTTTGAAATGACATCATCATCATCATCAATGTTTTATTACAGTCATTGACCAGCAAAAAAGGAAATGACATAGAAAATAGTTGAAATGAAATAATGAAGTTACTGTTCTTCTGTAACAAAACCTATATGTGTATGCAGTTCTACATGTCAGCTTTTCCTGGAAGAGCTAAGAATAGATAAAAATGTAACATACACATTTAAGAGCAGCTATCCAGGTATCTCTAGGAAATCCACGAGAAAATCATGGCAATAGCCCTTTCCTTCTGCTGTTTCCCAGCAACTGGTATTCAGAAGTATACTGTCCCTTCTCTTTGAGGTAATTTGTAGCCTTCATGACTCCATGCCATTGATAGCCACCTCTTCCCTGGGTGTGTCTAATTCCACTTTAAAGATGTCTACATAGGAGATCATAACCACATTTTGGGATAGTGATTCCTGCATTTTAAAGCATACAATATTCCAAGAAGCGCTTTCATTTCTGTGCCTGGCAATTTCTAAATGATACATATACTGGGTTGTGTCCTAAATGCTTAAACAAAATCATTTACAGCCCACAAGTAAAAAAATTAGTAGGAAAAGACCATCATTCTCAGGTGGGTATGTTTGTGGCAGATGTGTTTAAAATGTTCAGTCAATTGACTGCCTTGCTTTAGTAACATTTAAATACAGTGTTAAAATTTTAATTCAGAAACTAGTGGTCCACTAAAGAGATAAGGTAAATCCCCTTTTGATCAATCTTTCATGATGACAAAATATTGCCACTGTAAATGTTACAGATAATAAATGTGAACTCTGCAAGCATATTATCAGAAGCTTTTGAATGTGCGGTATTTTCTGTAATATCTATGCTCAGCTATAATATTTGATATAATATATTTGAGAAATCTTTCAGTCTGCACTATTCATGTATCTTCAGAGGCAGAAAACTTTAGATCACCCCAATGATTCTTTCTGTTCATGAGACGTATCCTGAACTCAGAGAACGTTGTGTTGAAAAGCTTACCCCAATAGAGATAACATGCTGTAAAAAGGTTCAGGCACCCAAGGCTGCTACACATTCATTATAATCACAATGTGAAAACTTGCTGTCAGTTATTCTGTCTGAGCATTACATTAAAGTAATGAGGGCCATCCCTGTACATCTGTGGATTCTACATTAAAATTATAAATGTGATGTGCTGCTTGAAAGCTAATTTTTAAAGATGGTGTCCATACCAGATGATCTGGGTTTCTTTGACACTGTTCATCAAAGAAGTAACTGTTCTTCCCTGAACACTGACATATTTGATGCATAGTTGATTGGATGTCCACTTAGCAGATGAAGTATATGAAAGGTTTCCTAACCTTGTCTGTTATAACTTGTTACTAAAGACCCTCAAAACAGCATTGATCTTTGCTTGGACAAATCAAATTTTCTATAAACAGTGGACTGGTTTGTGTGCTTTATGTTCACAAATAACCTAACATCTTATTTAATCATGAAAACAAGATATATCTATGGGTATTTAGGTACATCTGAAAGTAAATTTAAAACTATGTGCTGTATGTGGTTTTTATACTATATCATTTACATAGCACCAACATGGCTACTTATATAGCAAATTCACACAGCATAGGGAGCAGTTGTTTTTAAATATAGATCTCACACTTGATTTTGCACTGTTTTTAATTGTTTCTTCTGCATTCACTGGGAATATTGTGGGAAGAATTTTAAATCATTAAATTACTTGCAATATGCCTCATTCAAAGTAACTGTATTTGATATGACACCACTGACTCACATTCATTTTTCAGCTCCTACTGAAAAACCTAGAAATGTGAACGTAAAAGTCCGATCATCCACAGAAGCCTCTGTTTCTTGGCAGCATATTCTCAATCCAGCTGTTACAGGGTATGAGGTAAGCTTTAAAGAATACATTTTTGTTCAATAAAGTATATCAAGTGAGTAGTGCCAGCTGAGTAGCAAGTATAAGATACAAAAGCACTGCAAAGAGTTGAATTGCACTCAGTTGAAACTGATCTCACATTCAGAAGGTTCATGTGAATTAAAAATAACAAAAGAGCCTTCGAATAATTAGGGTTTTCCTTCATCACCTTTTGTTCTTATTGTTGTTGTTTCTTAATCTATATAAAAATACCAGTTAGTTCCATGATGAAGTTAAAAAAACATAACCCACAGATGTAATGGCCTAAATCCATTTCCTAGTTCCCAACTGCTGAATGGCAAGTCAGTTCCATCCCACTGATGGTTCTACTTTAATAGTAACTACCAACTGGATTCCATAGTTACTGATTTATGCATAAAAGGCTACTTCTCCAGAAGAAGGCAGGAGGGGCTTTTCAGTCCTTTGGGACTCTCCTCTCCTTTCTGAAAGGAGCAACATCAACATGCATGTTATTTCATCTGCTAAAGAGACTCCTTGCATCTAGATTGACCATACTTCACAACATGGGAGTAGAGGCTGCTGGGCAAAATGATTTTTGTTTTGTTTTGTTTCTTTGTTTTACTCATTTCTAGAAAGATATTCACATAGACCTATTCAATCTATGCCCACTGAAACATCATGAAATACGATGGGTGTGAATGGGAATGCTAGGAGTTATGATGCCCCTGGTGGAATCGTCCTCCCATCTAGCAAGACAGATAGGGGGTGCCTGGAATAATCATCCCTGGAATGATCAAGTTTTCCCCCTCTCACAGCAGTAGAAGCATAGATAAATATGGGATGTGCTGTCAAAGCCTGTGCCTCCTTCAGTAGGACCAGATGATACAAGAATAACAGGGCATGTGAACCCCCTTATGATCATGGGTTTATAAGGCTTGGGGAAAAGGCTCCTAATCTATCAGCAGTCATTAAAGTCCTAATCAGACAATCCATGAGTGTTGATTTGGAAGCAGGAGCAGGGAGATGGTTCTAGCCTCATGCTCTACCTGCTGCTGTCTGAAGAGAGGGGCTGTTGAAGAGGAAAGCTTCTGCTACACATAGAGTTTCTCCACAGAAGTTGGGATCTCAAAAAATCGGGGTTCTTTCACATGTAGCAGATGGTGTCACTTGCAGACATCCCTCCTTTACACGGAGAGTGTGTGGAAACTGCAGCTGTGGTGAAACTGGGAGCCTTTGTATATTTCTTTAGACATCCCTGTTGTTGGAGATCTCCTCAACAACTATCTCTGAGTGGTTACAGGATAATGTTGCCCCAGTTTGTCTGATCTTGGATATATTTTCTTTCAAAGGGATTACTGCACAGTCCTGAAGAAAATTACTCTATCTGATGTTTCTGGGACAGATGCCACTTTGAGATTTGCCTCACAGCCGTGTGGTCATACATGTATTTATTCACCAATCACACCATTCATTCGGCTTATTTTTGACTTCCTAAAGGAAGCCTAAAGCAACTAGCTTCATACAGATTCAATAGAAATACAGTCATTTCAATGACAATGCAGAAAATGGTTGAGCAATAATGTTACAACAAATCTATAAATGTTAAAACCAATACTTAAGAAAAATTCATGAGCAATGAGTCAGTAAGCAACAAACATACATTAAAATATTATCAATACTTTTGCAACACACACTTGTGTCCTCAATGAAGCAGCCAATATTCTAAACCACATGGGCATACCATTCAAAACAAAACTAGCCTAGACCTAGCTGAAACCAAGAAAGAAAGGAGACACGCCTAATTAATACAACACCAGCACAACCACAATACTTTCAAATCTGCCACACTATCATAGGTTAGTGTAGATACAGAGGCAAAGTTTTCCCCATATATCTTTTTATGTCCAAGTGTGTTTTAATTCTTTTAGCTGTTGCTCATTAGCATCACATTGTAGTTTTTTGTGAGGTTTGTGAGAGAAGTTCCTGCTATTTTCTTTCTCATCTGGACTGAGGTGTGCCTGTCCTCACAAAGCAGGTAACTTGCAAAATGGCAGCACCTCCTCCTAATGAGGAAAGGAGTCCCAAAGGACAACATTCTTTCCTTCAAACTTATGGAAAGAAGTCCCATCATTTACACATATGGCAAAACAACTTTGGAATGGAAAGAGACAATGTTCAAATGAGTGAAATTTCTCATTGCTTCTGTCTTTCCTTCTCTTGTATAGCTTTCTGCCTGTTTACTGTATATTACCCTCTGTAGTTTCTTGTGATTCAGGATTCTGGATTCAGGATTCAGGATTCTGGTTTGAAAGTCTTATGATAACTAAGATTTGCCAGTCCAAATGTTCCCAGTCATATGCATGACAGGGCTGCTTGATTTCAAGGGCCTTCTAAATAGAATGGAACATTTATGTATTTTCTTTCAAAATCTGAGCCAGGTTTGAAATCTCTGTTCCAAGGAATAATTTGCTTTTTAAAAAAGGCAGTAATCAAATAGCAAGCTTGTTTGAAATGCATTTTACCTTTTCACATGTAACCACACTTCTTGTTTTCAGATCCGTTACTGGTCCAGTCATGAAAAAGAAATAGCTGCAAATAAAGTACAAGCCAGCAATCAGAATTTTTCGGTAAGGCTAGAAAACCTGAAGCCTGACACCCAATACTATGTAGATGTGGCAGCTTTCAATACAGCAGGCTTTGGACCTACCAGTACCCCTTTGGTTTTTGTTACAGAAACACAAGTTGAGTGAATTATTTTATGTATTTTATGTATTGATACATTCTATCTCTTTCACTCTGTTATTCTCTTGTGTTGTGTTTATACATTTTGTCTGTTTCAATCTATTATTCTGTGCTCTATACAGTATATATATATTTTACATTGTGCAGCAAGATCCCATATATGTAGATGGTCGCTGTCAAGCTCCCCCGTGGATGCTGAAAAAGTGGATTATAAGCAAATGCTATTTTAATAGTAAATGCTATACATTCACGATACTTCTTGAAGTTACTTAATCTTAAATTGTTCTTTGTGGAGTAAAAGTACCACTATGCTTTACTATAAAGATGCTTCTATTTCCAGTTGCATGGCATATTATATAGACCGGGCAGCAAAAATGGTGGCCGGATGGGGAAATCTTCGCTTACCGGTGAGTTTTTCACCAATAGGAATGCATTAAACAGAGTTTAATGCGTCCCTATGGGTTCCCCACCCCCGCATAGCGACGAATCTGGATAGCGACGTTAATCCTGGAACAGATTAACGTCGCTATGCGGGGCACCACTGTATATCTATTTTACATTGTGCCGCAAGATCCCATATATGTAGAGGATTGCTTTCAAACTCCCCCATGGATGCTGAAAAAGTGGCTTATAAGCAAATGCTATTTTAATAGTGAATGCTATACATTCACGATACTTCTTGATGTTACTTAATCTTAAATTGTTCTTTGTGGAGTAAAAGTACCACTATGCTTTACTATAAAGATGCTTCTATTTCCAGTTGCGTGGTATATAGATAGAGAAAAATAATAGAATCCTGTTGGTGTTTAGTTCAGGTTTGTGCAAACTGATTGCAGTTAATTGATGAGGTGCCAGGACCCATCTTGGTTGCACAATTGGGTACAATCCAGTCACATGAAAGGGACATGCCTCTTCATGCTGTGAGTTGTCTACAATTAGCTATGGGAAGTTATGCAAACATTATGAGACCACCATTACATTTCTGGAAGATCTAGATCTAGATTCTGTGTCTTCCAGTTAAACTCAAAATATACTGCAATGATTTTTTTCAATTATCAGTAAGAGCCATAAAGCCTTTTTTTAAAGGACAGAATTGACAACTTTGAAAATAATTATGCATATTTAAGAAGGAGAAAGAGTGGGGGTGAGGGGGAGAACACAAGGCAAGATGTGGTTGTAGGTTAAGAAAGGCTTAACATTAGTGGTTGGAATAAAAGCCATGTCATGTTTTTCAGCTCCAAGGCAACGACCAAGAATTATCAGTGCCGTACGGTCTGGTTCAAAGTACGTTATCACATGGGACCATGTTAAATCACAGTCTAATGAATCCACCGTGAAAGGATATAAAGTAAGAACTGTAGTGAATGATTTGGCCTTATTGTGTAGCTTTAGTTAATATGATATCTCACTCTGCTTTTCTATTAATGATCAGGGTAATTAGTGATTGAAAAACAGTGCAGCCACCAGGCTACTGATCAAGTTCAAATCAGCAGCTACAGAAAAGAACAATCTAGCACATAAATAGCTGTCATCATTTTAGGCCAATAACCTGGTAGCTTATGATAATCATCATCATCATCTTAGAACTGCAGAGCTGGAAGGGACCCTATGGATCATCCAGTGCAGCCCTTATCAAGTAGGCAGAGCAAGGAATTTAATTCCCCACTTCTGGCTCTGCAGCCAGAGATCAAAATCACTGAGCTATCCAGTAGTTCATGAAACTGTCTTCAAAACCTCCTTACTATTAATGTTAGTAAAGTCTGAGAAACATCCTATTTTCTAACTCCTAGAAGTTTTCATCTGAATGTAAGTTTGTGTAAGATATGAAAATTAAATAGCATAGAGGTAGAGATAGGAAAGAATTATTTTAGTTCACATTTTAAAAGTTTGTACTTTCATACCAGTATATAAACCAAAACGTGATTATGTTTGGGAATTTGCTAGCAGGTTTACACACCAAAAAGTGTATTCAAAATGTTATATTGTGGAAATGTTTGCTTGCCTACACTGGCCCCTTGTTAGTTTCTGTGCCAAATAGAGCTCTTTTTAAAAAAAAAAATTTAATTTTTTAAGACAAAACAAACAGAAAAAAATAATATACAAGAAATATACAAATAATACAAATAATATTACTTATTACAGACTAAATTCTAACGTGTACCCCATACCCACGGGACCCCATTTAACAATATTTTCTATTACAAACTACCTTCAAAATTGTATAAAATAGAGCTCTTAACAGTTTAGGACCTCGTTATTTGTCAGAATGGCTCCCCTAGAAAACAGCTCCCTATTTTACATGGTCCTCTGAAATCACAGTGTTATGACAGACCACACCAAGAGTGACCAAACCAATAACAATGAGGAATTGGGCCTTCTCAGTGGTGGTTCTTTCTCTGTGGAATAAAGTGCACCAGGCTCCATCCTCCTAATGTTTAGGAAACTACCAAAGAGAGAACTTTATAAAGTGACCTTCAAGAACATATTCCCTGCTGTTATGAACTTTCAATTTTTTAAAATGTAGGGGTGTTTTATTTTTTATGAGTTTGTCATCGCCATATTCTTTGGGTTTATATGTGGGTGGTGTTTGGGGCTGGATGGGAGTTTGCTGTTTATTTTGCAAACCTCCCAGAATAGTGGGTGTCACTAAGTGGAGTACAATACAAGTGAAAGAAAGAAAGAAAGAAAGAAAGAAAGAAAGAAAGAAAGAAAGAAAGAAAGAAAGAAAGAAAGAATGAATGAATGAATGAATGAATGAATGAATGAATGAATGAATGAATGAATTTCTATGGAGGAACATTAAGCCAAATTGCTTGCTAAAACCTGTATATTATTGGAAGTGGCATAAAATAAGTATATGTTAGGAGAAATACATACAATATGTATATGAATTTTCATGCAAAATTTAAAAAATATGCAATGCATTAGATGAACTGAATTCTCAGTATTCTGGATAAACTGAAGTTAAGGTTGAAAAAAATAGGAAATTGGAAGAAACTAAAATCAACGGAGTCATCCATAGTTGTACAGAAGTACACATTTCTTGGCCATAGTTCTTCCTTTTCTTGTTCAAACAGAGGTGCAAATCAGCTACCACCATAGCTATTACCCATTATGTTTCAGGTTGATTCATACAATTATTGCTAAAGTATGCTTGGAGTCTTAGCTGACTCATTTTCAGTGGCTAAAAAAAAGGGTCTGTTCTTGGCAGTGGCAAGAGATCATTAATGTATTTCCTCTTTTTGGAAGGAAAAGCAAGCTTCAGGAGTTTTGATCTAAAGAGTGCTGCAAGAAAATCAGTGGGAGGAGCTTTCATTTTCTGCTCTCTTGTGTTGCTGATAGGAAAAGGAGGTTGACCGGGTAGTTCTCAATCTCTGACCACTGTCTGTCTCATTCCCACTAATGCTTTATAGACAGAAACAATGAGAAAGAAGCAAAGTTTCTTGGTGCTACTTTGCCTTGGGTACTGCTCAGCCTGATTTGTGCAGTAAAGGGAATGGCAAACTTAAATAGAAAGTTAAAGAATACTCATTATTTTGAGTGTGATTTCCCACTCTACTCTCATTAATCTGTAGTGAAGACGCCCAGACTTTTCATTTTTTAAAAATGTAAACACATCATCAGCAAAAGAAAAGAAAATCAGCTGGCATATGAGAGTAATAATAATTATTTATCTCCAATCTCCTCATAATAAATAAAGTATGATTTGGGGTTTGTATGATCAGCTATGCCGTCATCTCTTAGATACTGCCATCACCACCACCACATTAAAGATAGAGAAGGCCATTTTTGTCAGGCAGAAAAATATAAACACATGGAGTTTTGAATCTCTCTGCTCCTGTTAAGTTTTAAAAATATAAACACACATGATTTGGATATTTCTTTGTTTAAAAAATGACAACCACCACCATCAGTTGGATCAGAACAATTCAGACCATGTGTTTGGTACAGGAAGTTGTCTTTAAAATAAAAACACAACACATTTCTCCTCATATCATATAAACTGGAAAACCACATAGGAAGAAAAAAAGTTTTTAATGCAATATTTTCAACAATATGATTATAATCTAATTTTCTCTCTCTTCCACTTTCACACGACTCACTCACATGCAGTTAAATATCAAATAAGATCACCATGAGTTGGAAAGTAACTTGATGGCATCTGATAACAACAGTACTTAATGGGGTTTTTATTTTTAGAATGGGGCATGTGTATATGTGAACTGAACTTTAGACTTACCACTTCCACTGTGTTATATTTATCTTTAAAAGGTGCTGTATAGACCAGATGGACAGTTCAATGGCACACTATTTAAAACCGGCAAACATTATATAGAGGTTCCTGCTCCTCTTAAGGGTCAATATGTTGTTGAGGTTCGAGTGCATAGTGAAGGAGGAGACGGAGAAGTAGCTCAAGTAAGAATTCCAGGTATGTAGATTTTAAAATATAATAAATAAAATTTTGTGTGTGTGTGTGTGTGTGTGTGTGTGTGTGTGTTGTATATACACACAAACACAAGAATTCCAGGTATGTAGATTTTAAAATACAGTATAATAAATAAAATTGTGTGTGTGTTGTATACACACACAAACACAAATTTGAAATTTCAAGTATATATCTCCATTTTTTCTGTGGACTATATGCTATTCCTATTCTACTAAAATTCTTCCAGAACAAGCATCCAACAGAATCAGCCATTCTATATTAAAGAAAAATATGCTGTATTGCAGTCAGCTTAAATTATTTTTCAAATGTACATTTAATTCCTTCCCCTTTCCTTCCAATTAAGTAGTAGAACAGCAAGGAGGAAAAAAAAAAACAATTCTGATTCATCTGGATGGCTAATCATATCTCTTTCATGAAAGGCATCAGAATAAATTCTTGCAGATCACAACTGATTGTGAGGAAATGTACCCCATAAATGAGGCAATCGCATTTAGGAGTCACTCAGCTATAATTGTTTATAGACCTTATTTTGACCCTGGTAGAGAAAACGTCCAGACCTGGAATGAAACTGAACTGAATTTTTTTTTCCTGATGGCTGAGAATCAGGTGGCCCAACTTCCAATTAGTACTCTCTAATACTTCAGAAGGAAGGAGTGATTTTAAAAATTAGAAAATATTACTCTGAGGCAGCTGTTCTTACAGTCTACCCTCTCTGTGTGAGCTGGGGCCACTGTAATTTCTCTGTATCATCAGCCGGTGAGCATTACACTCAGTTTGCAGTCTAATTCCCCATCCCTTCTTTTAGGTATGGGCATGTTTTGTGGCAGCGGGGAGTTAGTTTTACACGCAGACACCAGGCCCTGCCATATCATGGATTGCTAAAATGTTGGAACATGGCAACAATTGCGAGTGGCTTTCCCCCTTCATTTCTGGTGTTGAAAAATTACATTTTCAATAAGAGTTTTTGTATTGTTAAGAACAATGTTTCCTGCAAAATCACCCATTTTTGTGCAAAACTGTGCAATTCACACAATGCAGCAAATTGAAAGAATTGCCCCAAATGACGGTGGCTGCTGGTTTGTTCAATAATTTGAAGTCCTGGATGGATGTTCTGTGCCCTTCTTGACAATCAGTCAATCCTCCTGTACTTGCTCTTTCTGCATGTATGCTTTGCTTCACTAAGGAGAAGAATGGCGAGTATATTTTGTGCAAATTACAGATCTTAGGAAGAGGAAGGTTCTGTTTCTCAGTTTGGCTGGAGATGAGGCATCTTCGGTTTATAGATCGCTTAGTGAGAGTGAAGAATTTGACAGGCATTGTTTCAATCCCTACTGTGTTCTTAGGTTTTATATAATGCTTTGTCAAAAGAAGGGAAGTTAAGCTTGCATTAGAACTTTGCCAAATGGCTCTTGAAAAAGGTGTGTTTTTCAATCCTCCCTGCAGTTTACATAAGAACTACTGAAACATGCATAATCCCTAAGATTATTCCTCAGCCTTTGGGCTAGAAGAGTAAAAGTTTCCTTCTAGATTAGTGTTTCTTACTTTTCATGGACCAAAGGCCTAAATCATTGTCTTAATTGTCAAGAGGATTCATATGATTGTCTAAATGATTGTCTTAATTGTCAGGATGTGTGTGAAATAAATCACTTTTAAGTACTGTAGTTAGCAGACTCCTGGAAAGAAAATTTATGCTGTCTCTTCTCTGGACGTGGTGGCGCTGTGGGCTAAACCGCAGAAGCCTGTGCTGCAGGGTCAGAAGACCAAGCAGTCGTAAGATCGAATCCACACAACGGAGTGAGCTCCTGTTGCTTTGTCCCAGCTCCCGCCAACCTAGCGGTTTGAAAGCATTCAAATGCAAGTAGATAAATAGGGACCACCTCGGTGGGAAGGTAACAGTGTTCCGTGTCTAAGTCGCACTGGCCATGTGACCACGGAAGATTGTCTTCGGACAAAACGCTGGCTCTATGGCATGGAAACGGGGATGAGCACTGTCCCCTAGAGTTGAACACGACTGGACAAAAATTGTGAAGGGGAACCTTTACCTTTACCTTTTTACCTTCTCTGGACAGCAGTAAAAGATAAGACACAGCGAAAAGTTTTGCTCTGAGAGATTCCAAGAATATAACTCACAGACAAACCATTGTCTTTCTCCAGTGAAGGCTTTTATCTTGTAGTTTCAGGAAAATAATTACAGTCGTTTATGGAACACGACTGGACAAAAATTGTGAAGGGGAACCTTTACCTTTACCTTTTTACCTTCTCTGGACAGCAGTAAAAGATAAGACACAGCGAAAAGTTTTGCTCTGAGAGATTCCAAGAATATAACTCACAGACAAACCATTGTCTTTCTCCAGTGAAGGCTTTTATCTTGTAGTTTCAGGAAAATATTTACAGTAGTTTATATACAACATTCCAGACAGCTTTGTGAACTGAGGCAAACCGTTGTTGGAACACAGATAATCTTGTATCTCCCAAGAGAGTTCTGCTTTGTAATTATGTGCTAGCTGTATAGTCTAGTTCAGATACCAAAGTTCTGGCAGTAGTTTCTTTAATAGTAACAAATGAAACAAATGGACCTCCTTCATTTTAATGTTTCTTTTTTTTTTTCTTCAAAATAAATACATGTTCTCCTTTGGGGTCCAGGACTTGGGTCAATTTTGGCAAATATTCAAAAAAAATCATATCAACATTAGCAAGTGAATCTCAAGGAGTAGGTTTATTTTACCTGTAGTTTCAGGTAGTGTTTAAGATAATGGCTGCCTCTTTATTTAAAACAAACTAACAAAAATATGTTTAATTTCCAGGAACTGCTGCTGGAATATCACCAAGTTGTCTTGGTTTATTGCTGCCTGCTGTTGGTATCCTTGCTTACATGGGATTCTGAATGTAGCTGGATGTGACATGTCCTTGACTTAGTGCAAAGGACCTTCCAACCAGAGAGGATTTCAATTCTTCTTTTTTGATCCCTGTGGCACCATCCTAAGCCAAATAAATTACATTTCCAAGCAAATTATCCTCTTGATTTAACTATGAACTTGAAAGACTGAGGCATTCAGGAACCCCTTCATCAAGCGACTCAACTTTTGAAAGTTTGAGGAATGATTTTTAACTTGTTCCAATTATGCCTTATAAAACACTTGTGCTGATCTGCGACAGTTGCATGATTCGGTCCAATCGGGCAAGTTACAGTGTTAAAATCCAGTAACATAGGCTGTACAGTAAAAGTAAAATCACCACACATAGGTGCTTTAACTTTAATAACAAATTGTGAAAACATAATAGAGATTGAAATGTTGATTGTATGTGGTATATGTAGGAGTAACTACGTCTGTCCGTACTATCCTATCCGTTTTGTGTACTGCATATTTTTGAATGGCCCCTGTCATTTACGACTTTTCAGATTTTTAGAGATACAGTCAAAGCAAACACATTGCACCCATTTTTTGTGCAGCTTTTTTTCTTGAAGTGACTAAAATGTGGGCTGAGAACACTGGATTTCAAGTTCAATAACAATGGATTTTATTTCAGGTAGATTTGGGGTTATTAATACATGTATTCACAGTAAAGGACTTTCCAGCACCTTAATCTAATAATGATGTTTTAATTCAACTTGTTGATTTACGTAGAAACAATGCTAGTCAAGCCAAGTGTGATTCCTCTCAGTCTCAAAGAGATTTATATTGTGGTAAGTGATATTGATAGCTATATAAGCAAATTTACTTCTAATATTTCACTATGTCCAAATATTACTGGCACATTCAAGTAATTCCACATCTAGCATAAAATGAAAGATTTAAATCCCAAGACTATATAAGCATCCTACCTTTTTAAAAATAGCCAAAAAAAATGACACAATGAAATTTGAAAAATGATTCCTTCGTAGAATCAATGTTAAAACAGAATGAGTATTTAAAGTGGCACTTAAAGCTCAAATCATCTATAAGAATAAAAAAGGGAATATAAAGTTTTAAAAAAAGACAAGTAGCACATAGCAAAACTGAGATGTATTTTTTTGTGATGCATATATTGCCTTACTTTAGGGAAGGCTAACCATTAGGAAAATGATTTACATTTTCCAATAAATTAATATTGTTCTACTTCCTAGAGCTGTAAATAAGAGTTGTAAAGTTCTAATGTGATTTTCCCCCTATTTAATGATCCCAAAAGAGAGAAATATGTTAATAAAATTCAGTCAGATCTCAACTGTTCTGCCTGCTTGTAAGTTTTAGGTTTGTTTGTTTGTTTTCTCCAAACCCAGAATTACCATAGGAGATACAGAATGTCTTTGTTCTGACTGTTTCTGTGCTGTAAGTTGTTTGAAGGGAAAAAAAAGTTCCTGTTTCTTTCAGAATCCCTGGTATGTTGGGAGTTTGGTGTGAATGTTGGGGGTGGGGAGGGAATACACCACTCAAGTGATATTGAATCAGCTGGCTCAAGCAATAGTGCAATGTCTGATGCTTCAAGAATTATAAGCTTTGAATCATATTTTATTAGCACAGCCTCGCTAGCTGCTTTAGAGATAGAACTTTTTAGGACTAATACTGTAGATGCCCATGATAATACTGTCTACATGATGGAAGAACAAACCTGCCAGTAATTTGCACCTGTTCATTAATTTGTATGATTTTTTGTACTATGAATTTACATTTTAAAAATCTAGAATCTTCATGAAAAATATCAGTAATACAGTATTACTTTCATTTTGACTGTTACTTGTTGAAACTTTTTTAAAAAGTAGGTAAAAATGATGATTTCCATGTAGAAGAATGTCAAAATCTACACATGCTAAGTTTCATGAATTGTGTAATTCTTTGGAAGAAACTAAAATGTCTTCATGCAAGAGGAACTAATGCCTTGGAAGCCTTCTGTGATATATTTCAATTTGGTTCAGTTTTTATGCCGTTTCAGTCATTTTTATACAAACCTGCAAACACAATTGTTATTATTACTATTGCCAAAATGCATGAATGCCTTTTAATTTGCTAACACATGAACAAAACCAGACCATGTCTGCATGATGACAATTTGGACAGTCAAAGCACACTTATTTAATTTAACCTTCATAACGGACAAACTAGGTTTCATCAGTCATATTAATTAGCTAATTCCATATTTACATTGTTGCACACAATTGTACAAATTTTACTGGGACATTCAGTCCCAACAGTTGTCAGCACAACTAACTATATATTGTATCATCTGCTTTACAATGCAAGGTTCTTAATTAAAGTTTATAGAGATAGACACATTGGTTGTTTCTTTGTATTTCAGGTAATCTTGAAATTAGTATTATTTGATACTGGTGATATTTGGATTTTTTTAAGTTACTTTTTATTATTATTTTTCCTATTGCATAGACCAGGACCATGCTTTGTCGGTTTTATGGTTGAAAAATAAATTATAAATAAATGTATTACTAGTATTCCACATGTAACCATTGTCATTTGACTCTTCCAGGAATTTAAGTAGATGTGCTTGACAGAGAATGAAAAGAATCCCCACCACAAGGGGCGGTCGGGGCGAGGGGGGCACATCCTTTTGAATCTTTTTTTCTTGTTGTGACCTATGGATTAACTGATATTCTTCCTTTAATATTCAAGATTCCTCGTTTTCATGGCTTACGCTTGAAAAACCACACTCTTTTTTTCTTGGTGTTTAAAAATATGTTAATTGGTTACTATTTAGTTAAAATATCACATCTACCAAAGGGGGATTGTGTTAGAGAGCATCATAACTAACATAGCCATAATAGACAGATCAACAGGGAAGGGAGGGAGAGAAGGTGAAACGAAAAGGTACAGTGATTTAGCCAAAGATCAAAGGTAAGAAATTTATTTGATGCTAGTTTTCATTTTATGATTTTTAACTGGGACTAATTGGTCAAGAATATTTACTGATATTCTTAACCAGTTTTGACAGCCTCAAAAAGTGTTGTTTTTCCCCTCCTCATTTGCAGTCCCCCTGGTTCAGAGGAACAGAAACATAATTTATAATACAGATAATTTGGAAGTTCTAAATGCTATTCCAAGCCCTGCAGAGTTCCTACTTAGGAGGAACCATTGCCTCCTGCTCTTTTGAATAGTCTTTGTTTGTCTTTGGTGGAATAATTCCATAGTCAAATTTGATTAGCTGAATATTGTCATAATACCATGTTAATTATGTGTTCCTTGATTGCATTGTATCTATATACCTTATCTAGTGTAATAAGGCTGTACAGTAGGCCCTTGTGATGTCATCATATAGCAACATCTGTTACCATGTTAATTATGTGTTCCTTGATTGCGTTGTATCTATATAGCTTATCTAGTGTAATAAGGCTGTACTGTAGGCCCTTGCTGATGTCATCATATAGCAACATCTGCTTTCTTGTATAACATGAGACATTCTGCTCTGGTGGCTGGTATCACTGTTGCAGTTAATATTGGAGGAACATGCTGATTAGTAGCCTTACATGTCTCATCCTCAGCACATCAGCACTCACCAACTGGAAGTCTTCATTTCTTCCACATACCACTGTGAGCAACACTGAGACAGCACATGATGTCATTCACAATGGCTTTTGGGATGGTGGTATTTTCTACTGGCACCATGTTGGGAAAAGTGGCATATGCCACCATTCTCCCTTCAGAATGTCTGTAAATAGCATAGCATCATGCAGAGAGGAATTATGTGGTGAATAAAGTAGTGGTTGCCAAGAGAAGCTAGTGCAGGCCAAAGAAATCCTACTCTTGCTGCTGTCATTGGGGAAAAAAAGGTAGTGGACAAAAAGCCTTAGTATAGTTCGAATGTATGACTCATGACATCCATACCTGGAGATACATATATGCAAAACTGTTGAACACACATATGTAGGATTTTTTTTCCTAAAGGAAAATCCACCTTTGGAAAGTGTTAACAAGGAGTGGTAGGAGATATCAGAAGGTAACATAGATTGTACTTCTCCCAAAAAAATTCACAAGGAGAGTTTTGCCTGGGACCATATTTGATCTAAGTGTTCATCACAGCTGCTCCTATGCTATTCCAAAGACTGAAATAGAGCTTCCCACCCCTATTGCAAGCTGTCTCATTTCAAAACTGCAAAACTGAGGGGAATTTTGTAACAATGACATTAACTTTGTCCCCAGCACTCCACAGTTCTGAACAAAAACTGATTTTTCAATTTAGATCTGCTTTGACCTGAACACGAAACAAGAAGACAGGTGTCTGTGAAGATTCTCAGTCATCCAGGTGTGGTTATTTTATTTCATATTAATTAATATACCACCCATCTGGCAGCCAAGGCCACTCTGGGCCATTTACAACAAGTAACACAGACCCATCTGGCAGCTAAGGCCACTCTGGGCCATTTACAAGTAACACAAAACAACGAAGTAGCAAAATAACAAATAATGACACCAATACATTAAGGTCGCCAAAATAACAAATAATGACACCAATACATTGAGGTTGTAAATCAAAAATCATAAAGTGCAGTGAGGATAAAAATATGATACAATAAATATAATTAAAAGCATTAAAATATAAAACATGGAACATGGCAGTATGATGGATGTTGTATTATTGGGCACTATTGTATCAGGGTGTTCTTTATTCAGGGAAGGCCTGTCTAAATAGCCAGGTTTTTAATAGCTTTTTGAATGTGCCCAGTGAAGAGGCCAGGTGGACTTCAGGTGGAAGAGAGTTCCATAGTTGTGGGGCTACCACCAAGAAGGCCTGATTTCTGGTAGTTGTTTTCCAGACCTCTCTTGGGGTCAGAACTCTCAGCTGCCCTGCCTGTGATGATCTTAGGCAGACCTAAGTGAAAGGAGGTGCTCTGCCAGATATTGAGATCCCAAACCATTTAGGACCTTATAGGTTAATACTGTACCATCACCTTGAAACTGGTACGAAAGTGAACAAGTAGCCAGTGTAAGGCAGCCAGAATGGGGGAGATATGTTGGTATTTTCTGACCCCACTCAGAAGTCTTGTGGCCTCATTCAGATATGTTGGCATTTTCTGACCCCACTCAGAAGTCTGGTGGCCTCATTCTGGACCTATAGCAGTCTCCGTAGTAGTTCCATGGGCAGTCCCACACAAAGGGCATTACGGTAGTCTACTTGAATGAGTAGCAAAACATTTAATCTTAACAAGAAAGAAGTCCAGCTGGCATGACTCATCTTCCAAGAAGACATATGATGCAACCCTAGTTTTCACAGCAGACCTTTACATTCATTTTACTTGTAGAATATGCCCCTCTGAGGATGTTTGTTGCAGTCCTTCATTGAGTCTTCCATTAAAGTTGCAGTTATGATAAATGAATGTGTATGTGTTAGCGTTCACTTAACTTGTTTGCCAGGATGAAATAAGAGACCCTCAAGTTAGTTTTCAAATTTCCAGAAAGCTGAAGTTTGTTGTCTGTATAGTTGCAAACATCTAAGCATGCCCATACAGAAAAATGTTCAAAGTACAACTAATACAAGTTAGCAACTGTTTCCTGGTAACTATTAAATTATGGCTATTGTGTTAAAAAAAAGTGCAATCCTTTTATTATTGTGTGGTATGTGCTATCAAGTCAATTCCAACTTAAAACAACCCCAGTAGTGTTTTTAAGATATGTGAGATATTTAAGAAGTGCCTTCATCCATAATATTCCCAGTGAGTTTCCATGGTCAAGCAGGAATTTGAACCCAGATCTCAAGTCTTGGCCTGACCTTCACTCCACAACACTACACTGGCTTTCAAAATCCTTACCAATGACAGTTACAAAAATACTTTTACAGTATAAGGATCAGCAAAATGTTACATAGCACTTTAGAAAGCTTTGGATTGCTCATTAGATATACAAAGCATATTTTCATATAGCATATGCTATTTTAAAGGATGTGGAGAAGGAAAAAGACCAAAAGTGAGATCGCATGTATGCACCATTGTCTTATGTAGGACATCTGAGAGAGGTCGCAAACAATGAAAATAGAGGTGTTAAGACATCAGTTTATATAATTAATGGTTGCTCTCTTACCTGCAGATAAAAAGGCTGGTTATAATCCTTTATGATTATTCTGTATAAGCCTATCCATGTTTTGTGAAGTCATCATCTTCATCTTAGAACTGCAGAGCTGAAAAGGACCCTATGGATCATCGAGTCCAAACCCTGTCAAGGAGGCACAGTGGGGAATTGAACTCCCAACATATGGCTTGGCAGCCTGATAGCTAGACCACTGAGCTAACTGGGGAAGATCTTTCCCTTGATCCTGCTACATTCACAGCAAACCCAGTAAAGAAATGAGAGAAAGCCTACTTTGTGGAGGATGCTGTACTGTTTAACCTTTTTTGAATCTGCTTTTAAATTGTTCTAAGTATTTTTATATATATTCACTGCTTTTAATATATGTTTAGTTGATTTTTTAAAGAAACTGTGTGCTTTTATTTGCTAAAAAAAGTTATGTATGTTTTAAATATTTGTTAGCCACCCTGAGTCTCTTTATTGGAAGAAAGGTAGGATGAAAATAAAATAAATGAATGCAATTTAGAGATCTATACATTGCCTTGGCACAAACATACTGGTTCCCAACACAGTAAGGAAGAGCAAAACAAGTTCTCTCTGCTTCTCCTTGTCTAGCTGATATATAGGGTCAGGTGGCCATGATTTCCAGTGTCCCTTATAGTTAAGGACATAAAACCCTTGTACATATAACACAAAGTTACAAGACCGGTGATGTGTTAAGTTTCAACGGGCAAAAGTGAATTCTGCCAATCTGGAATTCTGCCATTTCTGACTTCAAAGGTGAATATAGTTTATTTTAAGAAACATCTGAATGAATTTGAAGGAAGCTGAAAGTGAAAAATGGGTGCAGAAAAATGGATCTATTGTTTAACCATGTGAACATGTGCATCGTGTCTTGTAGTTAGAAAGATATCTGAGTGAATACAACAAAAGCTAAAAGTCAGCAAACAGAGGTTTGTGCATTTTCCCAAATGTTGTATTTGAACTTGGCTCTTCCGCCAGGCTTTCCCTGGGCATTAAGTTTTTGAGATCTTAGCCTCCTTTTTACCACCCTTTCATCATCCTTTTTACCACCTGCATAGCCATCTGTTTTAATTTATCCTGTTGGTTATCATATGCATTTGAATGTATGTTTTGTTTCATTTTAACGTGTTTTGATAATTGTGTTGTCTATCTTGTTGCCCAGAGTGTCCTGGTTGCCAGATGGTGCGGGGTATAAATCCAATAAATTATAAATAATAATAACTAAGTCTTGTAAAG